TACAAGATATGATCTTTAAAGAATCTTCAGAAAACAAACTTCAGTAAACTATTGTGAAAATGATCTTCACATTCAATATCTCTCATTCTTTAATGATCTTYAGTCRCACTTCTTCTTTTGAGTCTTTTGCCAAATTCGAAGTTACTCCCCCTTGATCTTTGCATCAAATCCCCTTTAACAATGTTCGGAAATGAATATTTCATTCATATTTAACAAATGCTATGCTGCTGTTTTTCTTGTTCACACCAACAATTTCTGCTAGTTGCTGTGTATGAATAAAAACATCTGAGTAACTGTGTAAGCAGTTTTAAAAAAAAAACAGCCTTAAAAAAATTAGGAAACAGCAATGAATGATACAAAATGAAGCTGCTGTAGCACTAGCACTACCTGTTGCTATGATCTAAATTTGACCAATGCTCGAAGGAACAAAATAATAGAACTGGCAGTGCTAACACTTCATTCACTCTTTCTGACTCTGATAGAGTTTCTGCCCAAGGTAGCGAATCCTTGAGTCAATATCTCAAACAAAAAACCAGTGACACTTGCAGCACACAGCAGGGAGATGCTTTTAGTACCCCTACTTTTAAACCGATTCCCAATGCATTTGTTGCTAAATGATCTCTGGTCACTTGAGTATGACTATGCTGTTTGTAACCTGCAAGCAGGTTACAAAAATTAATACATGAAAGATATTTGTTACAGCACATCAGTCAATATACATCATTCAATAAGCATGAACTAAATCACACACTCATTTAACCACACAGCCTTTTAAATCAAACAAGGTCACTTGAGCTTGAACCTTAAACCTGTCAGTTTCATGAGACTAAACCTGTCAAACAAACCTCACCAATCTCAATCGATATTTGACAAGATATTGAACAAATTACCCAATTGAATCAAGAAATTACAAACAATCAAGAATCTGGGTAAAATTGATTGAGCGGTTTAGAAGTCCGCTCAAAATTCTTCAATTTACAATTCTAAGTCCTAAACCGCTTACTAATCCGGTTAAGGGATGATCGGTATACATGAATACCGAACAATCAAAGATGAAAGACTTTACTGTTTAGACAAATCCACTTCCGCTCAAATTTGATCGTGTGGTATGAGATTTAGAATACCGCTCAAGAATTGAAAACCTAACCTGAAATCAACCGGTGTAGCTTAAACCGTTCAAGAAATCTTACCTGCTGAACGAATCAGAACCCTAATCCGGTGAAGTGATGACCGGTGTAGATGAATACCGGTTGAAATACCGGTCAAGAGATGATCGGTTTACCCTTAGCCGAGAGATCGATTGAAGCCTTGAAGCCAACAGGAGAACAATCCGATCAAAGATCCTGCGGTTTATCCTTGGACTTGAAATCAATTGAAGTTGTATGCGGTCAAGTGATTTAGAGAGTTGAAATCAATTGAAGGAGATGATACCGGTCAAAGGATGGGCCTTGGATATGGGCTAAAAGAGTTGGGCGATTTAAAAAAAAACAACTTAAAACATAAAAACAGATTAAAATCTATCAAAAACACAAAAACTAAAAGAAATTTTAAAAAAAATGGATCAAAACACTGATTTACAAAAAAAATTAAGAACACGAAAAAAAATTTAAAACACAAAAACCCGATCAAATCTTGATTAAAATTGATCAAATCGTAAAAGTTTGTGAATAACAAAGATTCACAATACGATTTCGAACATATTGATCATGTTTTTAACATCAAAACACAAGATTTTATGGAAAAATCGGATCAAAATAAAAAAAAAAATGTCAAGAACACGAAGAACACGAAAAACAAAAAAAATTCAGAAAAAATTCACTTATCTGATCGATTTCTTCATCTGATTTCTTGCATCCTGCTCTGATACCAATTGTGTGTCCACAATCACTGATCAATCTTCATATTAAGCTCACATCAATGGCAGATTCATGGATTTAATAGTAAGAACACTATGAACATTGAGAGAGAAAGTCAAACATGTAAATTTCAGTCAACTCTTTATTATGAATGAATATTACAATTAAGCTCCTCTCCTACTAATTACAAAGATTAAACCATATTTATATGGTCAACCTAACTAACAAAGTCAAAGTC